CACTACTCTTGCATTAACCCTCAATTAACTCCACCTCTATATCCAACAAATGTTGAGAAAACCAAGATCCAAACATTTTCGAGAATTCGCCTTGGTCATACAATTGCAACTCACCAATGGATCCTGAAGAATTCTTCTCCCCCAATCTGCTGTTGTGGACAAACTCTTACTATAAAGCACATTCTCTGCGACTGCCTCAACTTTTCCTTGGCTAGAAGTATTGCATTTGGAACGATTAACCATTTGAACATTCTACAATCAGCTTCAGAACAGAATATCAACTCAATATTTTACTTTATTAATACTACTAAGCTTATTATCTAATATCCATTTATTTAAATTAGAGCCGATAGCCTGTGTTGCTAGTGCTCAATGTCTCTTTTTTTAGTCTAAGAATTCAATTCATTAGTCTAAAATTAAAATAATAATAATAATAATAGAAATAGTAAGATTTTGAACACTATAAGAAATTCTTTCGAAACATCTTTCCGCTTAAAAGACGTAGCAAATTCTCATTTAGCAGAATTGTTTAGGTTTTTTCCACCACTTATTCTCATTTAACATGTTTAGATTTAACAGAATGTTTAGATTTCTTCCACCTCTTATTGAAAGCAACACTGTTCTCTCCACACTGTTCACAACACATGGTATTTCTGTTTTATAAACCAAGTAAAAAAAAACGCCACTTAACGGTTTTTGGCGCAAAATCAAAACCATTTCACAAGCAAACAAAGAAGTTTGACAAAGTAAAAAATTGCGAAAAAGAATTTTAAAAAAAATGAATTAAAAATCACAAAAAATTATAAGAAAAAGTTTAATGCGTTAAAACACTTTAGAAAATAAATTGTTTATTAAGATTTGATAAGGGTAGTGTTTGATAAATTAAAGTTAAAATATTTATTATATCATATTTATCATATTAAAATCTTGTTCAATTTTAACAAAGTTAAGTTCTAGTTTCAACAGTTCATTGACGGGATGTGCATTTATTTATTATTAACAATTTCATATATGCCATTTCTTGGCATCTAAGATCTACATAGTTCCCCTGGAAATATCGTTGGTAAAGATAAAAGTACTATTCGGATAAACTGAAGCCAACGAAAAAGAAAAAATTAATTGAGAACCAATTCTCTTAGACGAGAGAAGACTCTGAAGACAAGCATGCATGCTTTAAATTGTTTCTCCTACTCAGATAAGTGCCATGTTATGGGCTAATGGGCAACTGATCTAAATTGGCCAACTGAAAAATATAACTCAGGACATGCGTTATACAACAGTTGTATAGTGGATATGTGACTTGCTTGTATTATTAAGGTAACATGCTGTTAACTAGGATCTGAGAGCGTTTCTTAACAAAAAAAATTAATAAATAGATAAATAAATAGAAGGAATTAATAATAATTTAATTAATCTTATTGTCAAAACTATTTTCTATGGCCGGGGAGCCAAATTGCTTAGGACGAACTGTATGGGAAACAACTAATTTTAAATTGTAAAGTGTCGGCGATAAATCGTAATTTTTTTTTTTTTGGTTTTGTTTATCTTATTGGATAAATGGATTTGTTGATTAATGCAAGAGACATGTACTTTATGTGCAGCCTTTGTGCTTATTGAATGTTTATTCTCTTATAACCAAGTTTAGAATATTATTATTTGTAATATACCTAGTGTTAGATTAAACTTTAACGATTTAGTGCGAATTGTACTATGTGTTAGCTGCAGTTACTTCAATACAATAAATTGGCCCTTGAAAGGATTTATATTGTTCTCTGAATACATATAAATAAATAAATAAATAAATAAAACTTGTTTGGAGATGTTAACGCAAGTACGTTTAAGCAAATGCCGTCTAACCCATTAGCTGATTACACATATACAATAGGATTTGCCACAAATTTTACATTTTCCAGATAACACAAAACACCGGCCAAAACGCTTTTACAAATTTGCTATCTTTATTTGTTGATTCATTAATATACTCAATTTCTATATCCGTGGACTAATAAGTAAGAGAAATGTTATATGACGGATTTCAGTTGTTTAATTTAAAGAATTACTTTAATTAATGATTTAAGCAACCCTGTCTGATATGTTGAATCGTGTGCTTGCTATCGATATAGTTTGTTATCGCCGCTAAAGTTATCAAAGTTCCTTCCTTATTGTGAGTTCCCTTTCAACTTTTTTTCGTTTTTTCCACGAAAAACATCTTTTCATTCTTATAATTTAAATTAACTATTAACAAAATAAATGTAAAATAAATTGTGTTGATTTGTTTAAGTTGCAACCATTTAAAAAATTGTAACGTCTCTTCCAACGAAAAAAGATCATAAGTTTGTGTATAAATTTCATCACGCAAAATAGTAAAGGAATAAACACTATTAAGACGCATTTTTGTTGTCTACTTTCGTACCTATATACTGAAAAAAATTTCCCGAGTTCACAAAAAAAAAAAAACATTACAATTAACAAACAAAAAAAAAAGAAAAGAAAAACAGAAAAACAAAAAAAGATAGAATAGAAAAAATATTGCATAGCAGAGAAGCTTAAGAAAACGGGAACACAGTCAACGACTTGTTCAGCATTAACGGCAGCATGGCTAATGTGATTAGCAGTAATACCAACAACAATAATAATAATAAGAACAACAATTGCAGCAGCAATACTAACGAACCTAACGAAGTTATGCCTTCCCAGGTCGCAATAGCAACCGGCACTAGTGACATTACAAATTTGAGAGAGCTCGGCAATTTTCTGCAAACATATGGAAACAACGGCCCAAATTCATGCCCTTATGATCATGTTATTGATATGATTAGAGATTTGAGTCTGCAAGACGATGGCATAACAATGAATCGTAAAATCAAATCTATTGAAACGGATTTCTGTAATATTGTTAAAGATGAAAATATGCTGCAGTAAGTACGCCGTCAGGAGGATTAACGTAAAATTCTATCATAGTCTATTTTTTGCAACCCCCTATTTTATTTAGAGGGGTATGAGCTAACAAGCAACTAGTTTTCTTTTGTTTTTTTCTTTTTTACTTGCGGTTCTTATGTGTTTTTCGCTTAACCAATTGTTATGTGTATGCCTGCGGCGTTTGCGTGTGCTTGTATGTTTCAGTGGTGTACGTTTGTGTTTATGGACGCGATTGTGGTCATTTAACGCGGCTAGCTAGCTTTGTCACGTTTTTATATATATTTGATTTGATTGTCGTTGAAGTTTGCGCGTTTGCTTTTATTTGTTTTCTTACACATTAATTAATGAATCATTATTAATGCTGCACAATGCAAATAAAATGGCGGGTTTATTATCTGCTTAATAAGCATCTGGTGGGATCGGAGCAAAAACTTGAATCTATATTAAAATGAAGCTTTTTTATTAAAAAACAATAGAAAATATTTTACGTTAATGTGCGCAAATCATTCGTAGATCCTTTGAGAGTTTGAATCATCCACAGGAGAATTTTTTGTATGTTGAGGTTGAAAGTATCCAATTTTTATGAGCTTTATCTCTCCTTTATAGAATGCTTAGTTTAACTTTGTCGACATCTTCAGCGATATGCTCGTCTACACGTCCAGTACAGTAAGTTAATATTAGCCCTGACAAAAGGACATAAATATGTTCTGAAATGGCAAATACACATTGCTAATGACAAAATTTTATGAAGAAATCCAACAAGGACGGACGGACGGATATTATATGTTTATCATATACAGTTAAGTGGTTATGGAAGACTATTCCACATTAAAAATTCTTCAAATTTTCAAATCTTTTGTCCACAAAAAGAGTGAAAGGAAGCTAATGATGCTTAGGGACAAGATAGCTCAATATCCGCCTATAGTTAATGTTACAAAGGAAACGAATATTTTATTTTGTATCTCTGGTAATCTTGCGCCAGAGTTATACTGGATGTTAAAAGTTAATTATTAGATACTAAGAGTCAATATTTGCGATACGGACTAAATATGTTTAAACTTATTTAAAGAGGAAGTCGAATTGAGGCAAAGCAACTATGGGAAGCGTTTACTTCAACCGAAACAACATTTGTTTAGGGCGCTAAATTTTTCTCTCTAGAAATCGATGTCCATGAACGCCCTTCAATTCAATTGCCATTTTTCGACTCTCAACTTTTTGCTTAAAAATATAGTCAAAGTTATTAAAGCTATTTCAGAAATAGCTTGATCACGACAAAACTAATATGCAAGTCTACAGTTTTCAAATGAATCATCCTCACTACTTTTTCTTTAGCTAATCCTGATTTTGATTTTTGAAATTGATTTACCTGTAGTTGGGAAATTTGCAGATATAATCTCCCTTAGACCGCTTGACAATAAATTTGAGTGTTTTTTTATACTCATTCTTCGCTAACGTACCAAATTTCGAAAAATTGTTAAAAATAATTTCCGAAAGAAAAATTTGAATTTTCATTGCTCGTTCGACAGGTACTTTCACTCAGATTCACGCGATATAAGTGAATATAGGTGATATTTTCTAGTTTGATCGCGCTAGAGTCTCAAATTTGGGCGCTTTTCCATACCCATCTTTCGACAACATATTAAATTTCAAAACACATACAGAATTTCAAATTGTTTAGATCGTTTGAAAGGTATTTTCACATTGAAGATGCAAGAGGTGTCCACAGAAATATTTTACATTTTTTAATATCGGCGGAGCGGGTTCTTTCAAATCCAGCTTTATCTTTATTTTAATTATTTAGGGCTCTGTTAGGGCGTTCACAGAGCTCTGTTAAGAGATATGGTAGGTGCCTTTGCTACTTCAATTCGAATTTATCTTCACACGCTTGTAAAATACTTATATATTTTTTTTAATCGCTAAATGGAAAACATTGCATTTTTAATTTTACGGATAAGCGTATGTTTTGACCAACCTCTTTTATAATCATCTCTACCAAAATTTAGACTTTCTTTAGCAAAAAGATATAATTTTTAATATTTTCTGGGCGTCCATCATATAGATCTGCTTTTTGCACCCCATTGCAAAGTGCGCTTTTGCATGGAAACGAATGATAATTTTTGATATTTAATCAAACAAAAAAAAGTAAGACTTTAATTAGGCAAAGTAATGTAGTGGTTTTTATGGTCGGTTTTCTACGATTAATTCTAATTTACTGTAGGCGTAGGAAGGTGCTAGATTTTGAAAGCAGTGTTTAAATAAATTTAAAAATTTTTTTATTATTTCACGCTGAACTTGGGTGAAATTAATTTTTCTTACTCTATTCTAATCAGTCTGTTTTTTTTTTTTTTTTACTTATTTTCAGCGAGTCCATGCAGTATATAAATAATAAGGCTTTAGATGATGATCAGACAGCATTAAAATTTGCTTTACTCTTTGCATCGCGCAATTTTGATGCATTGGCCATGAAAGAGACTAAAGTACGCAGTGCCATGTTAACAATTTTACAAAACAATTACACAAATGCCGACACATATCGTATTCATAACCGGGATCGCCTATACAATTCGATAACATTGTTAGGCGAATACTATCATCGTGTGCGTTTGGCTGATAACACACCAATAGCTATTTTGGGTGAATCGTTGTTAGGTTTAATGATCCGAGAAGTTAAAGAGGCAACAAATATTAATGATGTTAAATTGGTCAAATTGATATTGTCGCAAATTAGCCTTAATGGTGCAATAATGCGCGATAGACATATTGTGGAGTTAAATCAACTTTTGTTTCTAATACGAACGAATTTAATAGAACATCCTTGTTTAAAATCGAAAGTTAAGGCAGTCATGCTGATGACATTGGATTTGTATTACAGTAACTTTACCAGTTTGGGCGACACGTTAGAGGAGATGTATACCAAATATTGGATTATGATCGACGATGATGAGGGAAACAATAATCAAAATCATAATAATAGCATACAAGCCACACCATCGCAGCCGCCTTGTAATTCGCAAGAACAACCACTAGATGTAGCAGATCAAAACCATACCGGATTAGATAATGGTGTCGTAGAAGAAAACTCGAATATAATTGATGAAGAAAATCCGCAAGAGTCCTATGAGAACCCATTTTCTTTGGGTACGAAGAAATGGAGTGAACACTCATATGGAGATTCATATTTAGATGTTAGCATCAACGGTGATATAATTGAAAACGATGAACGCGTGAATAATAGCGGAGATGAGCAACAGGACCCTACTACTTATTCATGCAGCGGTTATTTTGATGATAACGATCTAGAGCGGCAAAATCGCAATTCTAGACGTTCATATCAGCCGTACCAATCCCCCCGTCCCTTGAAAGATAACTTTCATGATAACATCAGGTAGGCTTGACACCTAAAAGCATATAGAGAATTAATTTTTTTTTAAGTTCTCCGTCTGTGTTACAGTGACTACCATCACTATCAGGAGCATGATGATACTCAAGCTAACGGCACCGAAGAGCGAGATGAAACTAAGCCTTTACCACGTTGGAGAACCACTCGCTTCAATCGTAACGATCAATCGAAAGATGGACGTTCTCACCAGCGCCGCTTTAGTGCCAGCTTTGAAGATGATCGTAATAGCGTGCATAGCGAAGGTGGTAGCATACGTTTGTATAGCATTAACGATCGTCTAAGGCACGCTCAAGAGAAAATTGAACGCGGAAATAATAGCCAATATAGCAGTCTTGCAAATTCCAATTGGGATCGTCAATCGTGTTCGCAACGTGACGATCGCAGCGAACGTTCCTATCAGAGCAATTACGAAAGGGGTAATCAGCGTCGGGGCGCGCGTAACTACAACAATCGTTCCAATTACGACAAACCACCACGTTTTCAAAAACAGAAACATCACAATAATCACAATAATGAAAAAAGAATTGTTAGCGAATCATGGCGTCGCTCTACTAATTCTAATAACTTTGCAAACGACAGTTCTTCCTATAACGCAAATGACCCTGATGTGAAGGAGCGAAACTTTTCGCGGGCTCAAACACTTCCTAGGCCGGCTAAGTCGAGAATAGATGGTGTCAATCACTCGAATGCGTGCAACTATCGACGTAGCCAAAGTCCTATCGGATACGAGCGTAATAGTAATCATCAGGGCAAAATACGTTCACATAATTTTAACAATCGTTACAGTAGTCAAAGTAGTTTGACTAGTGAGACCTCAGGTTGCCAGTCGTCACAGCAGCAGCAACAACAACAACAACATCATCATCATCATCAACATCAACGTAACAGATCGTTTAAAAGACGCTCTCAACCACCGCCCCAAACATACAGTCATGAGGAGGTTTGGAACTGCGAGGACGCTAAAGGTACAAGCGATGAATTAGTACGTAATGCTCAACAAACCACTAAGTACATGAATTATTTGTCCTCGAAAAAATGAAAAGTAAGAAGCGATCGAAAGAAGAGGCGCTTATATAAATGATTGTATTGCGTTTATTGTTACACTAAAAAAGAAAAGAAACTGGAGAGAGGATAACAATATATTCCAAGACATACGTGATTATCTATGAAATTTTGTTTTATATGAAAAGATAATCAACCATTGTTTATTGTTCACATAAGTAACAGTTAATTTTTGTTTGGTGTAAAAACAAACAAAAATAGTTTTGATCTTATCTTGAAATCTTGCTTAATGCATGTAATTGTTCTTTCATGTTTAGTTTATGTTTTTTGATATGTTATAAGAAAAAGAAACAAAAAAAAAAGAAGTTCATTTGCATAAGTTGAAAAGTTAAGTTCGTTTACTTAAGACGCCGGCCCCTGCAGCTCAGGATAAAAAAAAAAAAAAAAAATTAACAAACAACAAAAATTTAACACAAACCACTACTTACTTGTATCTCCCAATAATGGCAAATCTTATTTTACATTAGCTTTTTTTCCTTAAGATAATTTTTTTTTGTTTTTTAACGAAAACTGCCTGCTTTAAGCTCACAAATTATAAACAGAATTTTACCCGGGAATGTACAAAAATTAAGGTTGAAGATATTGCCATTTTTAGATAACATATACATTTTATAATTTAATTTTTAATTTACATTAGTTTTGCATTCACAAAGTAGCTTAAATGTTGTCGCAAATTGTGTTTTCTTTTTCTTTTTTTTTTTTTACGTAATAAGAAGGAAAGTTTTTGTCCAAACATACACTATATACTAAGTTTATTTGGAAATTGCTTCTCAAAAGGATCGAGTTTCTTGTTAAAAACAAAAATATTTACATTTTAAAAACAAACAAAATCTTGGACATATTACGATGGGCGATAATAATTATATATATATATACATTTTTTTTTTAGTATTAAGATAAAGTAAGATTAGAAAAGACTAAGACAAACCATAAATATACAAAATCTTCAAAATAAAAACAATGATATTTAAGTGGAAGTGGAAGGTTAAAGGCTTTCAGAGTATTATTTTTGAACGCGTTGTTCCGGTTTGCGCCATAAATTTTCCAAACTTCTCACCGGGGCGGGAAGGGAAGCGGTTCTAATTCCCTTCAACATGCTGGTGACGAACGAAACTTAAAAAAGTAATAACAGCTTTTATCTTTTACTTCCGTTAATCATGGAATTTTTTTTGGTATCCAAAAATTTCTTTTGCTTAAATCAATTCGAATACTCATTCTGAAGTCAGCAAGTTCGAAATTCAAGCATTTGTAACAATTTGACACGCGACATATCAAGAAGAAATTCCTAAACTGCAATTTCTAATTATGTGGAAACGAACTTCGTGGCAAACTGAATTTCTCCTAATTTCGCATGAATATATTCGGGTCATTTAAGCCAATGGATATCTTGAAGCATATGTAGAAAATAATTTTCCAATAGCCGATAGCCTTTTCATTCTATGTTAGCTTATTGTCTAAGAATTTGTTTCACTGGGCTAAAGAAGAACAGGTAAGACACTATATTAGGACACGGCCTACCATTAAATATCTTACACTATTTCTCTTAATCCAATTGATTCATACAACAATCTTTCGAAATAAGGTGTTACATGGGAAATAATCGAAATGGTCAGTATACAAAATTTCGTGAAAAGATCTATAGGTTGAAGAAAGCGGAACAGGACGGCCACACCAGCGGCATAGTAAAAGGTGGATCAAGTCCTTCCGGGTGTTGCATACATTGTAATAATAATATATACACCCAGAAAGAATGCAAATTTAACCCACTTACTGCATGAAGATTCAATTTTTGTAGGAACGACTATATAAGTGGAGATTTAAAATTCATAACATCCAAATTTTTCACATCAGCTTAGAGCGCTGACATACCGTTCCTTAGTGATTTGCCTCGAGGAATTTTGGATATTGGGATTTTTTTTTCCTTACTCGCAGTGAAAACGCTTTAGCAGGGCATGGCCCATCATTAAATACACTACATCAGTCTGCAGTTGTTTATGTAACGACTATTCAATATAAATAATTATCTGGGAAATGGTCCAAAAAGGGGGTCCACTCCGAACCATTTTTAATAGGGCTAATGCTTGGGCCAACATTCGCTTACAATTCGCTTGTATTTAAAATCATTTTTAATCATTTTTTGTAAAGTATTACTTGATGTGCTACACGTACTGTTTGTAAAATCCTTTCTGCGGACGACTCGCACATCTCACACATAATGTTCCTCTTGCTTAATACCACTTCAAGTATAACATAAAAAGAACTATAATGGACCACGACCCACCGCCCTAAAGATATTCACGACTTTTGGAAGCGGTTCAAAAAGTGGTCAGATTAGAACCATTTTCCATAGTGTTTGCCCTTCGGCCAAAACATGTCGCTTTACCAAATTTCAGGAAACTATTTCAAAAATTGTGACCTGTAGATTCCGCACAGTGAAATAAGATATCCAGACGGACAGACAAACTTAGATCCATTCAAAAATTATAATAAAGTCAAGAACAAAGAAACGCTTTAAATAAAGTTTGCTTTCCTGATGGGGGATAGACAAACGAGTACATTACAGTTACATCAATTACGCCATTTAAGGCAGATGAAGCAACGAAACCATTTAATAAATTTTCCTCCTGTTGGGACCTAGTGTTATTAGCAGACAATTGTAAAATTGAGTCATTAAGCATTGCAAAAAATTCATCGCCTTGCGATGGGATCCTTCTCCGTCGGAAAATAAACAAACGTTAGCGCATGCAAACTTCTTGATTTGAAGCATAGATAGAACTGATTTCAAATTGTTTTAAACTATTATTACTATAATTTAATAATGAACTTAACAGAAAGTGAGAAAATTGAAGTTTTGTGTGTGTTTTAGATGTAACAGCTGCTACAACCAGTACAATGTTAAATAGACTGTAAATGGAGAGGAGTGAAGTGATTATTACGGTAAATACAATTTGATCAGCTGTTTGTTATTGAAAGCTTTCAAAGCTCTCTGGCTCTTTCTTAGATATTTTTCTTTTTTTTTTAAATTGTCTAGCATTGCAATTATGTCTTGTCTTACTTGTCGTACTTGAAGTTGAACTAATCAAGAGGAAGGATCATAAAAAAAAAATGTCATTTTCAGATATTATTTGCATATTATGTGCAAAAATGATTAAAAGTTCAGATTGTGTTTACGCGACCATCAACTGTGGTCATCTGTTTCATCAAAAGTGCCTTTTCAAATATTTTAGTCGCTCTCAATACTGTCCACAATGCCAGCGGAGATGTCGTCCACGGCAAATCTATCGAGTGTATTTGGAATTTTGTCAACGTATTTTGTCAGCGCATTCTCCCACAGATTATCAAACCGGTCCCGAATGGCTATATTTTGGTGCCTCATTAACGCCTAATGATAATTTATCGTTCGGTTTAAAGCTGGATGCCGACGAAGATGGACATGACGCTTACTGTGCACGTGTTAATATCGATGACGACATTGTGCCGGCATATTTTGTGCCTGCGAAAGGCGGTGCGTATGCTGTTCGAAGTGAAGAATGTCATTTTTGCGTTTCATTTATTGAGATACTTGATGTTTCTCAGGACCAAGCCGATTACAAATGGACGGCCGCATCAGATGGTGAGATACCGGCTAATGCGCTCAAGATTGGAAAATCAATGGTTGAAATGGAATACGGTTTGGGCTACAAAGATATGTATATGGCGAGAGGTATTTACAATGGACGAAAACGTTACGGCAAACTATATCCATCGAGCAAAATGGCTCTATTACCGTATGGTGATCTCGAAGTTAGTGCAAATAATTACGAAATCCTTGTACGTATACCGAAGTCAAATAAAGACTCAATCAGTGCATTCAATAAACATGAAGTTTAAGCTATTCATAGGAGATTTATGGATACGGAAATCGATAATCGATAAACATTGATTATTGTTCCTTAAATAATGTCGACCTGAATATATATTTGAGACACTGCGCGTCTTAAGAATGGGAACGATAAATATTAAATTAAATATTAACGTACAGTGTCGTCAACAAGAAAATATTTAATAAATTAACATGGTCCATAGGTTTTTGTATATGCCTTAAACATGTTTCGTGGCTTAAAAGGATTACAGCTTTAATATATTTGTAAAAGTTATACAAAATTTTCATTAAGACTCATTGCAATATGCAAAGCAATACTAAAATATAGTTTTCTAAATATTTTTTATTTAGTTTGTGTATTAAAAATAAAAAATATTTCAATTTCCTACATTGTATCAACAACGAGCACGAGTGATAACAATAAATAAAATGACATCTGCCTTATTTAACTGCCATTAATTGCGACTTTTATTGTACTTTAAGCGAAAGATAATGGATCGTTGATAGCAGGAATGGCCAAACGCCGTGCGGCGGGCTATATCCGTCAAGGTACAAAGTTTCAAATAATTCGATTTTCTCGCACATATCAATGCTGCAAACGGACCATATCAGCCTTAACCTGTGTAGGCTATCATATGTGAAATGTGTCAAAGTGTTTTCTTTTTTCTTCATTAGGTCATCAAGCGACCGGTTTAAAAGGAAAGAAAATTTAATGCAGAACGAAGTATTTTTAATGTTTTGATGTCTGCTGATCATTTTTTCACTTGAAAAAACGTTTTTATTGAGAAAAATTACTAATCAAAATATTTTTTATCATTTTCCATCTTTCTGGAAACACGCTGACACCGTGCCGGGACGCCGATAGTAGTTTGGCCGCGATCCAATCATCGACCCGTTTTTGCACATCTTCAGCGTTTCGAAATCGTGTGCCAGCATCGCCTTGAACAAGCGGTAATCAGAAGACTCTCTGCTTAGTGAATACGCCAGGTGCGGCAGAACTTCCCATTCGAGCTGTGACAGTGTATTCTAGACAATTCTTGCAACGTGTGGCCTAACGTTTTCATGCAAGTGGATGATTGTACTCTGTTGCTGGCCTTTTTTTGCGGTAATATCTTGTTCAGTTTTTTCAAATAACAGTAACAGTGTCATTCATTTTTATCGGTTTGTAATACACTACACCTTCCTGATTCCCCTCGTATGTACAGCAAAACATTATGGCCTTAAATATTCCGCTTCGGTGTCGATGCGGGTGGCTCTCCTTGGCGAACGCGTGATCTTTAACGCTTGAGATTGTCATAGTAGCACATATTGCATCACCAGTCATACGCCGTGATGTTGAAACGGTTCGTAATGGCATTTTTATACCAAAAACCACTTTTCCTCCTTTCGCATCTTTCCGATTGCATGAAAACGTCTAGAAACAATTGATTCATCAACTGCTAAGCTGTTCGAAAGTTTTTTGAGAGTGAGTTGGGTTTTCATCTTCATTGGATAAGCCTTCATTGTCTTCGAACTTTCATCAAACTTGCCACTTACGAAATCGTTGAACGCAAAACCGGCAATCAGGAGGGTGAATGAAGGAATAACATTACCATAACATCGTAAAAGTATTTCATGGACTTTCGAAGCAGACTTCTTTAAATCAAACAGCAAAAGTAACGAATGTCGAAAATGTAATGTTGAGCGTCCTATCATCAGCTTCTGAATAACTCAATAGTTTTAAATGAAAAGCGGTTATTTTATGTAGAAAAAAATCGATTCGAACTTAACCGTTCCGTGCATTGATACTTGGGATTACTATCACATTCACCAATGCATGTCGCCGATCTAAATATATGCACCTTATATCTAATACCTAATATCTGGTTCTCAGCCGTGCCGTGATATGAAAATTAAAATTGATTCGTGGATGGGAAAAGTTGACCACCTTGATTTGAAGCCCGCACTTAAATAATTGAACGTTTATTCTCGCTTTGGGTCGATAGGAACGGAGTAGCGAAGTTAAATGGAACTGAATTCAATTAGTTTGTCGACGGAACAAAATTAAAATATGTAAAGACATTATAATCGGGCAAGATCAGTTACGCTATACTATTATTATTTTGTTTCTTCGTTTATTTCAGTTGACAAATATCAGAAATTTCATCTTGTTATTAGATAAAGGTTCACTTTTATGAAGAGCCTCTTAAGAGAGGGGGTCCGAAAAATATATTAACGTCGTCGGAATTTAGTATAATGCGCCTTTATGTGAAACGATTATTCTCGATCAATTTTCATCCTAAGACACTCCGAACAAGGCATTGCTTCCCTATAAAGGCAATTTTTTTAAAAAAGATTGCTTGTATGAAGGGACATCAACATTGGTCTTATCCGGTTGAAAATCTCCACATTTACTTGGAATGATAAATGTCTATTTTTGTTGAGAAATATTAAAAATGTCAATTTTTTTTTTGTTTTTTGGTGCAACAAGTTTTCCAAAGTAGAGCGTCATGTGAGCCAAAATATGTCAGTGCGAGTGTCGATGATGTAGGATTTGCAAGGATATCAAATGATTATGATGGGCGGTACCCATTCCTACTTATACTTTATATTCACTACTGTCAACACTTTCACGTGCATTACCGAAGGAGGATATATTAAATTTGCTCTTCGTCTGCAACATTCCTGTCAGTAAGAACAAGAGTTGAGCAAACACGCTAAAACTTGTTCTTGTACATTTGCGAAGAAGAACTTATAGGAAACTTGAAAAACGCACTGCTTGTTTACCGAGACACATCTAAAGGTTCAATATTTAATTAAATATATCCAGAAGAAATTTTCTTAAATCTTGAAGTTAAAGTAAAATTTTATAAAAATATTTCGTAGGGCTGTTGAAAACGTAGGTGTGAAAACCTTGGTATAATGAGCACAATTAACAAATTATTTTTTGATTGTTGTGTGTTACACGCGTAAGCAGACGGATCGAAGCGAATACAAACTTCTTGTACGCTCTTCTGCTTGAATCGAGTTATCGGGCCGATTGACCTCATTTCTATTCATCGAATTATTATAGAGCAGTCATAAAATAGTTGCGGCACTTTCGATACATTATCTCTAAAAGATGTTTGCTGCTATCCTAAGGACAAAAATGTTCAACTAGCGCCAAGTCACAGTTTGATTTCATTTGCTTACCCCTTCAAACTTTTAGGGCTAACGCCGCCGCTGGGAAGTAATAGGTGATTCGTAATAGTCATTCAAAGACACTTTTGACCTCACAAACATTTTCAATATATTGGGATTTACATATCCTAAGATTTTAAGATGACTATCAAAAATCGATACCTATCGATCCCGTTTGCACCTAAACACTTCTAAAGTGATTAAACGAAATTCAAAAATGAAAAAACATTCGCAATATTTCAATAACTTGTAAAAGTTATATAAATTATTGAAAATATCAAACTGAAATTTAATCGAAGATAGCCCCAATTTATCTAATGAGCAAAGTTGCTAGAGACACACAACTACACGGGTTTCATATGTAAAATAAAAATAAAGATTTATTTATTGAATATAAAAAAAAAAGTTCCTAATAATAATAATGAACAGATATATATATACATTTGCCTTAGGTCGTGATGAGAAGGTGAATAAAATACTGCCTCTATTTATACGTTACTTTTGCTTTGAATTCGCCATATACTTACAAAAGACATCCATCATGATACGACACATTTGCCCCGGTAAACTTACTAGGCAAAAGCACAATGAATGTATAAATGAGCGATTTTCATGTGTAAATAAATAAATGTATTTAACCGAAGCGATCGGTATTAGCGGTTCACGAGAAAATCAATTTGAAACTTTTTTTTTTGAATTTTCAAATGAAAATGAATCCCATAGCTCACTAAAAAACACATAATAAACAAACTAGAGCGGGAGTTGCGCAGATTATACAAGCTTAAGATTCGCGGCAATAGCCGGCAATAAAGGAATTTTTTCCGTGTGTCTGCTAGTGAACATGTGAACATGCTTAGAGGGTTGTATTGCTCATTTCAGCCGTCATTCGCTGCAACTCATCATGATATCATTATTGCATTATAATGTTGTCATTGATTTATTCTCTCATGACTTAAATCAATACTTGGCTGCGATTTCACTTTTACAATCATTTCTTATATATACACATATGTATGTATTCAGATCCATAATTTACTTATAATTAAAATAAGAATACTTATGAAATCATTTCCTTTGAATATCTTTGTAATGTTTACCTACAATTTAAACTTAACTTTTCATTGCACACAACATTAATAAACTAATGAAAATTCAATTATCTTTTTCTTAAGCATTTGCACTTTGTGGCTCATTTGAACTGGAATCTTCAGTCTTTGATGATGCTGGTATACGTGCCAAAACTTCATAGTTCTCACTATTCACTTCCAATTCTTTGTACGGCATATAGGCTACGCCGTGAGACGGATGAAGTTTCCCATAACGTACGTGGCCTTCATGTTCAGCTCGTGCCGTATACAGATTTTCACCCGTTTCACAGTAACCAGTTATAAGAGCGTAAGGTGGCACCTCACCAGTTGATTGGGTAATCCATTTGTATTCGGCGTCGTCATTAGAAGTATCTAATATTTCAATTTCATTGGTCAGAAAATGTGATCTACAATTCCAAGCCGTGTATGCGCCACCCTTTTGCGGCACATAATAAGCTGGCAGTAAATCATCGTGTAAATAAACACGAGCGATATACATGTCATTGCCATCTTCGTCGGTGTCAACTTTGAGAGCACCAGCTAACAGATCTTCTGATTTAATTGAAGCATCATAATAAATCCACTCCGGTTCTTTGCGCAATTCCACTGGCAACTCATCTATTTCACTGGGCTCTGAGAAATTTAAAAATATCCGGTGCACTCGACGGCGATGACAAGAACTACGACATTGCGGGCATGTATTAGAAATGGCCAACCAACGGTATAAGCATTGATGATGGAACACATGACCGCAAACTGTAGTCGCGTAGATATTATCGTTTTTTCTGAAATATTCACTGCAGATGGCACATAACACGTTCAACGTTGACATCCTGCAAATAGTTTCAGATTACTAAAACCCATATTGATTTATTTACGTGATAATTGATTTTTGTTAATGAAATGTACAATGTTATTGTTGTGTGCAATCCGTACCGCGACCTAAAAGAACTATTGTGCTCGCCATGCCACTAGCCAGTTTTTTTTTTTTTTTATAATGATTAATAACTCATGAAGTATTTCCTGTTCATGTTACCCGCATTCACATAGGATGCGATGAGATGTTTCCTAGGGGAGATTGGATGAATTGCTCAGCGTATAGAAGCCCAAAAGTACATTCAAGTACATTACTATTCATTCTGCTACAAATTTTCGGAATTTTTTTTTAAACATTTTCCCTATATCCAAAAGATAGTTGAACTACACCAAAAGTCTTCCACAGCTGCAGCTTTTATCTACCGTCTGCTAACATTCTTAATCGTTTGTGAACGATGTTGAAAAGCGTGACCATATACCCTTAAAGCAAAAACAACAATGCAGAACGAATCCTTTTTTTTTTTTTTGTCAATTGCGATTAGTTGTTAGTTGGATGACAGCATTAATTTTGCAATAAACTTTTAGAGCGTTTTACATATTGATCCACATTTCCCACAGAAATTTGGGAAAATTAATGTTTAAAGTCTGGCTTCATTTCATGTCAATTAATACGCGGATAGCCAAACACGCCTAAAGGTACTTCCAGCAGATTAATGTAACAAGTAATTTCCTTATGAAGAAAGAGACGCCACCAAGGAGAATATGACGTTAAATTCAAATGCAGGCCTTTCCTATAATCGTAATACCATACTTCAATGAAAAAAAAACTTCTAATGCAACATTATGGATGCAATGGAATAAATCACATCACGTTGAATAAAGAGCCACAAACCCCCTCGTAACATCAACTATGCTCTATGTCAAACATAAAATCAAGCCGTACTTAAAATGAAATGCAATGTTGAACGACTCGCATCATCAGAGACTAATATGCCATAAATTACGATGGTGGAATAGTATTTACAAAATTTAATAAAATAAAAAATATTTCTCCCAGAAACTACCATTTAAATATGGGCTCATTTATTACTGGGCTGTATTTGTTAAGCCTACGGCTGAATACTTTTCTGGATAGTGTCTTGGGCTTGCTTAGCATCTATAAATCCAAAATCCGTTGGTATTTAAATGTTTACATTACATTAAGCGAGTACTTGACCAAACAATGCGATACGCACTTACCTGAATTGGTGCAGAAGTTAATCTGTGATGAAATTATTAAATTAATAAATAAAATATTTTTCACAACAATGATATGAATCACATCGGAATTAACTTACTAAACACCGTTTACTAAGCACTTTTAAAGTGGCTCTCAATTTATATATTTTCGTAGTACTTCTTTTTTTACTGCTTGTGAAAGAAAAACGATTCTTGTATCACTCAGCTGTTTACTACTAAATTGAAGTGAAAATAACAAACCGGACCGAAAAAAACAACCAAGAGTGCCATGAGGTTATATTCATATGAAAATAGCAAACTAAATAAAATAAAAATATGAATTTTGCTCTGAATTAAATGGAACATGTGTTGATGCATGTAAAACGTTATCTTCGCAATATTCGAAGAATTCTCTCGCGGTAAGAATAGAAACAAAACAGGCTGAGGCGGTTCTTACACCAACTTATTAACTAGCCGCGTTAAGCATTCTACAGAAAGTTGCAACAAGATTCAATGTTTCGCTAGTTCCCCTTACTTCCGAGAAGCGCCATGGGCAAGACGGAAAAACTTTTGTCGTATATTTTGTTTCTTGTCCTCTATCGGAAGCAGTTCCGCCACCACACGGCGGGGCAAGGCTTTTTCAACTTTTTACCTTCATTGTTACGTAAACTTACCTACTTTTAATTAAGTTTAAGTTTAGCTCTCGGTTTTCCTTTCTTTGGAACTAATTAGATTTCTTCTTTCATTTCTCACACTGACGTTTCTAGCGATATGGTATGGCAGAAGTGGGCAAATGTGCCGAAGTGTTATATATTATTATTATTATAATTTTAGACTAATGAAATCATATCTTAGACTAAAAAAAAAAAGGGACATTGAGCACTAGCAATATATTGAATTGACATTCTGTTCTGAAGCTGATTTTAGAATGTCCAAAGGGTTAATCGTTCCAAATCCAATACTTCTACCCAAGGAAAAGTTGAGGCAGTCGCAGAGAATGTGCTTTAGAGTGAGAGTTTGTCTACTACTGTAGATTGAGGAGGAAGACTTCTTCAAGATCCATTGGTGAGTTGCAATTGTATGACCAAGGCGAATTCCCGAAAATGTTTGGATCTTGGTTTTCTCAACATTTGTTGGATCCTACTTTTCCATTACATCATCCATAATTAGAGGAGCAGAAGCAGCATCCTTTGCCGCTCGATCAGCCTGCTCATTTCCCAATAAAATGATATGACTAGGTACCCATAACATTTTAAATTTTCCGCCGGGTGTTGTAATTATATTCCTTAATTTGTTGACGGTGCTCCATCTCGAAGTCGAAGGATTCCGAATAGCTTGTAATACAGATAAAATCTGGGTTGACGGTTTTGAGTCTGTTTTTATGGACAAGGTTCGCAGCGTGAAGGATAGCTCTGGCTTCGGTCGTGAAAGTTGAAGTACTTTTGTGAAATATGTGATTGACAAAAACCTGCCCTGAAGCATCTAACACGGCATAAGCAGGAGGCAGACCAAAAGATTTTGAGCCATCTGTGTACAAGAGATTCCAACCGGCACTTTCCAGTACTTGGGTTTTTTCAGCTATTAGATTCCTGAAGTCGTAATTTGGAGTATCTTCTTTCTTGTGCATAGACAGCGAAATGTCAAAAGAGCAGTCTTTCAAAATCTATCGAGGTTTAACACCAAAATAGCGGAAAATTTTTGAAGCAATGTCCAATTCCTTTGCGACGTACAAACAGTAGCCGATTGCAGATGGTGACTTTTGAAGTTTATTCGCAATAATAATCTTTCTCACGTCATCACCGAGAATAGATTTGTTTGAATTAAGAAGCTTGGGGACTATTTTAGCTTTTAACTCATAAAGTCTATTTTCTAAAGTTGGGATACCAGTTTCAATTATAATATTATTTAGGACGTCGTCCTAAAAGCGGAACAAGTTGCTCTGGCGGCTTGGTGGTAGACCAGTTTAAGGATGTTGACATTAGACTTGCCGTATTGCCGTAAATTATCAAACCATAGTCAATCTTGCTTAAAACAAGCATTTTGGTAAGATAAGCAATAGTGTTAATGTACGCATGACTTTTCCAAGCAACATACTGCATGAAATTCACCCTTGTTAAAATAGAATTTTTTAACCGAAGACAGTGTATTTTGCAACGATATTTATTGGAAAAAGTGAGCCCGAGAATATTCAGCGTCTTCACGTTTTGTACTGCTAAGTCATTAATATATTACATATAATCAGTAGATTTCCTGCATCGCATATCTTCTTTCGACAAACGTGCATTTTTTAGATTTTTGTATGGAAATTTTAGCCCCTGACGAGTTTGCCCATGCGGAGATCTCTCGTCCAATTGATTCGAGGACGTTGATTGCCTTCGTGCTATCTTTTTCTTTTGTAAAAATGTATACATCGTCCGCGTAGAGACACTGTTCCATCCTTGGTGCACGGCTAAGAATTTTGCTAATTTCGTTGAAGGCGATCTGGAAAAGCGTGACAGAAAGAGAATAGAAATCAGAGAGATTGTTGATTCTAACTTTGAACCGCCGATGCCAACCAACTCTGCTTTTTCGAAATCAATTGAGAGAATTGTTCCATGATTCCGTTCGGAAGTTGTTTTGCTTGTAAAATAATCAATATGTAAAAGAGCGTCGATGCACCCTGTACCCCGCTTGAAACCAACTTGTTGCTTTGTTATCAGGTTTTTGGACTAAAGAAATCAAGGTAATCTAGATTCCATAATCTTTTCTAATACCTTTGAGAGGGAAGAGAAAAGAGTGATTGGGCGATAATTCGATGCGCTGGAGACATTTTTCGACTTTGGAATTGGAACAACTGCTCCCAGTTTCCACATGTAGGGTATATGGCCAGTCAAAAATACCGCATTATATCCAGTAATTTCTTTTTACTCGAATTAGATAAAGCAGTGATCATTTGGTAGACAGGTGTCCTCTCCTTCGATTTGGAGAGACAACTTTGAAATTCTAAGGTAGATACGCAATTTTCTAGGAAGGTGGCACATCTGTCAATACAATTTGAAAGAGAAATTGGAGTCCTTTTATTTTCGATGAATGTACTGCAAAGGTTGATGTCAGAGGAGCATTCGCACCACACTTTTTCAAAGTAATTAGAAATCTCATCTGCAGATGGCAGAAATTTCGTTCACATTTGAAGCTCCATTGAGTCTGTTGATTTTATTCCAGACAATTTTCATTAATGTATTTCTGTGAATTCTTTTTGAAAATAGTTCGTAACTAAGTGCCTTTGATTTTCTTAATTCTTTTCTGAAAAGAGCATTGGCGTTTTTGTATAATTACAAATGATCATGATCAGGACATCTTTTAAAGCGGTCCCATAGATCCACTTTATTTTTCCGAAGGGTTATAAAACGCATGAAGTGGAACGAGAACCGAAAGCAGGAAAAGGAGCTTCAGACTACAGATTTTTTGAACGCAAAAGGTAAATACTTTAACTACATTTTTTCTTTATTTTTCTTTTTTCATACATATCCACTTGTATTCGGTTCTTCTCCAGATCACAAACTCTTCTATATGATTTCAAAGATGTTCAATGTGTGCGGGTAAATATCGACTCAGCGGCCAGCTATGCTCTTAGACCAATTAGTACTGCTTATACTCATAAAAGTCTATTACCATAATCTTCCATAGTAATATGAATTTGAAAGAATTATTGACGACGTGTATGAAATAATATGTGTGGGGCATAGTCATGAATAGAGATGTTTCAAAACCATCGAATTCATTATTTCATACATATACAATTACTTCTCTGTACAATGGATTTGATTTCTCACATAGGTAATTATTTCTCTGTGCCAGGGAAGTTATTTCATACCTATGAAGTTTATGTTTCAACATTGAATTCGGAATAAGAATCGATAACATTGAACAGTAAAGTAGATTTACTGCAAATTCAATTACTAGCCAGTGTGAACGTTTGCCTTAGCTACCAGCCAACCTGGACGCTTTTCAAGCTTTGCATAATAGAATGACGCTTGATTGACTTTCCAGAGCAGTTAAGTCATAAATGGAAATTCGCAAGACCTATTTTGGTGCTTTCGAGTTTTTCACTTATGAAATCACTGAAATCCTATCCAACGTATATATATGCTTTGTTCGCTTTAAAAAAAAGTTTTAAGAAATTAATTGTTCCACCTACTACTCCCGACGAAATTAATATATTCGGAATGAAGTAAAATGAAATTCAATTAATAAGTTTATGAGATATTTTTAAAACGCTGAATTCCTAAATCCTGAGTTTCCTAAATCTTGGTCCATCGAGTTGACCAGTCGTATTCCGCTAAGAGTTTTGTTTCTCAAGAAGAGACCAAAATAAAAATTAAAGAAATTCCTTATAAAGGCTTTGAATTTAAATATAAATTCTGACGATACAATGATAGATTGTTTACTTTCAGGTGGGAATTAAGATTTCGTGAACTGGATTTTCTCATGTATATATTTCAGTTTTCGGGTCCGGGAAGGTAACTTCAATTGCCAACATCTCACTTAAGCTTTACATTCCTAGAATTGGTAGATTATGGTGAGATTTGCATATCCCTGCAATTACTTGCCCTATGAACTTTGTATTTTCGCCTCAAACTTCTTTTGTTAATTTCATATGGTGCGTAAATGTATGCTTGAACTACTGGTCATAGGGACTTTATTACTTGCGTATTTTTCTGTACATATTACTTCTTTTTATATATTATAGTTGTGGAGCTAAGTATGTTCTTCTCATCTGTAATCTGATTATTTAATAGCTCTTTAAATACTTGTAAGATGAATGCAAGAACTGAGGAATATTATCATGTTATATATATCTTCTGAGCAGGAAGGCTTCTATTATATTCTCAATTAATTAACAAATAGAAATGAAAAAAATAATAATAATAGGCTTTTATAAACAACCGATGCGTTGTTTTCTTCCCGGAACTCAAAGCGAAGGTAATATTGTAAACGCACTTTAATCATTCTGTACTAACTGCTGGAGGATCGAATAAAATAGCCCAAGCTTTAAGGCACCTATACTTACTTTTAATTGGTAGCTTTTTCTTTCTTGGTAGTGAGATTAATTTTAGATAGTTAGGTATAAAAATTCGGGATTCATTCTAATACGATAAGTAAGATTTCGTTAACATTTAGGCATAGTTCCCTTTGAAGGGAGACCCAAACGCAGCCAAAGATCTTCTAACAACAGCATTAAGTCTG